CCCGGGGGTCCTGCCAACTCCCCCTTGTGCCCCGGGGGCGGCCGCTCGGGGGCAGGCCCCGAGGTGGGGTGACCCCCTCCCTGCCCCCCCAGCCTCCTCCCGGTTCCCTCGGCGAGGGGAAGGTCTGGGCACGTAGAAACCAACGCGTCCGAGCGGAGCCAAGCGAGAGGGGAATTCCCTCTGCTGTCCCTGCCCTTGCTTGCCCAGACGTGTGGCTGCTTTTGTGGGCACCCCCAGCCCCCTTCCCTCAGTTAACTTCCTTGGTTTCTGCTCTTCTCCAGGTCAGCCAGCAAGTCCACGATCTCTGCGGGACACAAGGATGGAGTTCATCAAACCAGAATTGTTGTAGGCTTGTTTTGGTTTGGATTTTTTAACCCCCCCCCCCAATGAGAAGGTGGTTTTCCCTCCAGCTGGGACATGATGTCCCTCTCCCTTCAGGCCACCACTAGCAGGGGACAACCCCGAGCAGACACAGGTGGGTGCAACCCCAGGAGAAAGAGCCAGGAATATGGAGAGATGCCTGGAAACAAGCTGGGAGAAGCCATCCTTCCAGCTCAGCACCAGGCAGCCTGGGGGTTGGGGTAGAGCCATCAAGACATGTAGTACCCTCAGTGTGGCTTTTGGGGTGTTTTGGTTTGGGCTGGGGTGACTCCCTTGCAGCAGGGTCTGCTGGGGGAGCTGCTGCTGGGAGCTGGAGGCATGGGGAGCACAGATCTAGATCATCTTTAGGACCCCTTCCAACCCAAACCGTTCTGTGATTCCATAATTCTGTTAACTCTTCACACTGGAGATCAATTATTTATCTGATCAGACCTGGAGCAGCTTCCAGGACAGTGACATCTACCCTGCTGCAGATACCAGGGTTGCAATTCCTTGCTTGGATCCTAAGGCAGGTTCCTGCCCCGTGTTGTGGCTTCCAGGGTCTGCAGGACCTGAGAGGGGATTAACCCACACACCCCCCTGATGAATCTAACTGTATGAACCACCAGGTGACAGGAGAAGGACATGTCTGGTATGAGGGGACTCATTAGGTAGGTCAAGGGGTGCTTTCCAAAACACAAAGCCAGACAAGTTCATCCAGAAGATAAGGGGGAAAAAGGGCTACAAAGGGCCTGTGGAACAAGGATGTCCAGGACACTTACCCTCAGCTGAAGGGCGTTGGGAAGGGTCAAAGGCCCGACACTGGTTGATGATTTCCTGCAGTTCTGCAGGACAATCTTCCCCAACAGGGTCCTGGTAATGGTGGGTGCAGATCTTCTCCATGATCTCCTGGGGAGTGCAGCCTAGACAGGTGCAAACAGGAGTGTCAGGACAGAGCTCTGCTGCCACAGGAAGGTGCTGGGGAGGACACCCAGCCCAAAGCCACCCCAAGAACCTTCCTTGCAGCCCATGGCATGGAGGAGCCAGCAAAGAAGCCACCCAAACTGTGGCTGCAAACTTCCCCCAAGATTTGACATGACCCCCTTGGGCTCCAGTGGAGCAAGGAGACATTTTTATGCTTTGATGCACAGGAACACCACATAGAGACCAAAATTACTTCTATGGTTGTGGTTTAAGCTGAAATTTAGCTGAAATGCTCTATTGTATGTGAGCCCCTGGGGAAGCCACGGAGCTGTCGTGCAGAGCCAGGCACAGCAGGCACTGCCACTGGGACCCAGATGCCCTGGGATGCTCCAGGAAGGGCCAGGGAGCACCCAACACCAGCCAGCAGCCCCCACCCAGGCCCTTTTGCTTTCATACAGGAGATGAGTTACTTCTGCCTCACCTTCAAATGGGATTCTGGAGGTTGCAATCTCCCACAGCACGATCCCAAAGCTGGAAGGAGATAAGCAAGAGTCTCAGCTTTGATCCTACCACCTCCTGCTCCTGCCTAATGGAGGAGAGTTGGGCTTTTCCCAGCTGCAATCCTCTGCTGGTGTGTCTGATGGAACCTGTCCTTCTTCCATAGCTCACCAGCTCCTCTGGAGACACCTCATGGACATCTCACCCAGGAGGGACAGACCTACCTGTATATTTCACAGGGCCTCTGGTAGGGGTAGCTGATGTCCTTCAGGTTCTCAGGGGCAGCATAAGCCAACAGAGAGATGTGTTTCCAGTTCTTCTTGGCTTTCCTCTTGATGGATGACTCTGTTTCACCCAGCTCAAATCCTGACAGCTGATTGAGAGAAGGAGAGGAGGTGGAGAAGTGGTAGAAACACAGCCTGGAGAAACCTGTGGCATGGCTGAGGATGCCCTGGGCTGGAGAAAGCAGAGGGGCCAGCAAAAAGCTGGTGTGCACGTGGCTCCTCCTGCAAGCAAAGCCACAGGTGAAAGCAGGTGACCTGCCCTAGCATCAGGTCATCCCAAGGTGGGTGGCTCAGAAATGGTCACCATAAAACACAGATGATGATGAACTGAGATGTTACGTGGCCAAAGTGACAGGGGGATCACTCTACCCCAGCTGCTGTTCTGGACCGTCCTCATTACCCTCAGTGTTGGTGGTGGGGGAAGACATCCACAAAACCACCCCAAACACCCAGAAGCTTCTCCAGGTGTGGTCCTCACCTTCACACAGTAATCCCCAGCCACCAGGAACTTGCTGCTGCAGATGCAGCCGTGGAGTCGGGACTTCTCCTCCGTCTGGTGCAACCTGCAGTCGGACAGAACCAAGGGCAACACATGCTGGTGATGGACACGTCCTCACCTCAGGGCTCCCTCCTGCTCTGCAGGGGATGGACATGCACCCAGAGAAGCCAGCAGCTCTTTGCCTGTCTTGGTGGACCAGCCCTCCCAAGCCAACCTCTCCAGCAGCTGCTGGAAGAGCCGTTGTGGGCAAAATGATGAACCTTGAAGAGGAGCAGGACCTGTCAGGAGAACTGGCTGTGCTGGAGGGTGCTCCTGAAGCTGCCCTGTGAGTGCAGGAAGGGAGTTTCTGCCTTCCAGGCCTTCACAGGCTTGAAGCCACATGTAGGGGCCAGTGACCAGGGGAGGTGGATGCTACTGCATCCAAACCCACCACCCAGCTCTGCACCAGCCCCCCCATCCCAGCATCCCGAGGCGGTGGGAACAGCGTCTAAGAGGACACTCCTGAGAGATCCCAGGGAGCTGAGCGAGGTGTGTGGATCATCAGGTGGACTCACCCACTGATGGAGGCAGGAGCTCACCTGTAAAGGCCCCTGGCAGCTCCCAGGGCCATCCGAATGCGGACCTCCCAGGAGAGGTGCTGCTGCTGCTTGGTCAGCACGTCCCGCAGCGTCCCGTGCTTGCAGTACTCCATGATGATGGAGAAGCAGGGGCTCCCGTCTGCAAGGGAAACACTTTGAGCATCCCACCTGGTGCAGGCAGGGAAGGGGAAAGGGTGACGTTCCTGTGACACCTCCCACCTCTCTCCTCAATGCAGATCCCGTACATGCGCAGGATGTTGGGAGACTCGAACTTCTTGAGGGTCTGAACCTCCCTCTCAAAGATGTCTCTGACCTTCCTGCAGGAGCAGGCAGCACGGTGAGGGCCACAGAGCCAGGCACGGCCGTGGTGCTGTGTCCCCCTCCCCTCCTGGCTGCCCCAGCTGGCTCCTGCCCAGGAGAACTCACACGATGTCAGTGGTCAGTGGCCTCTTGAAGGTCTTGATGGCCACCGGGTACTTGAGGTACTCGCCCTGGTAGAGGTCGTAGCTCTCGGTGTCCTGCAGGTGTCTGTAGAAGGTGAGCTGGTCCCTCTGGATCTCAGTGATGTCTTCTCTTTTACCAACGTTGACCTTCTTCAAGCCTGCTCCCGAGATGTGCCAGGAGGGGGGTGAGGGACACGTCAGGCAGGGGGGAAGGGCAGGGAGAACAGGGGGCCTGGAGGTTCAGCACCAACTCACACTCCATCACGCGCACGATCCTGTTGAGCTCGCTCTGCATCCTGTCCACCGTGCTCTCCATGCTTTGCCTGTCCAGGTAGATCTCCCCAGCCAGGTCTTTGGGTTCCTCAGTGCCTAGGGAGAGAAACATTCAGAGGTGGAGACGCTGGACTCGATGCAGTTCATTTTTCTCCTGGTTTAAATGTCCCTTTGGATCCCCTTGGCCATCAAGCCCAAGCTGGGCAGCAGCTGGGGAGAGATGACAACTGCTGGTGGCAGGAAAGGAGGGGTTGCTTGAGGCCCACTTACTTGCAATCACCTGGTCCAAGAAAGCCTTGTCATCCCTCAGGTCCTCAGCATCCTGCCTGCGACAGGTCTTTGCCTGGAAAGCCTCCAGGAAAACCTGTTTCTGCTCTGCCTGCAGCAGCAGGGAGAGCCCCTGGGCAACGTCCTCCAGGCTCTCGTTCACCCAGACAAACTCCTCGCTGGCACTGTGGGCTCTCAAGAACTTCTGGATCCAACTGCTCTGGCTGTATTTCATCACCAGTTTCTGGGCTTCCCACAGTGCCAGGAGCAGCTTCTTCAGCAGTTCCTCTTCATGGTGGGAGATGTGCTTTGGTGACTGAGCCCTGAGGACCCTGACGGGCTCCAGCAGGATCTGGATGCGCTCCACGAGGCGCTGGCACTGGTGCTTACAGCACTTCACCTGCTCAAATTGGGCATGGATGGCCTGGGCCACGGAGAAGACCCTCTCCACGATGTCCATGCTTGCAGGAAAGGGCTTGGCCACTGGGGATGTGGGCTGGGGGGGGGTGTCTGGTGGAGCTGAACGACGGGAACCACTCAGAAATCAGCTGGATGCAGCTCTTCCACGACTTGCACCTAAGGAACAGCCTTAATGTGACACACCACCCTCCAGGTCTCCTCTAGCCCCTACTGTCTCCTCCAGCTGCTGAGCACAAAGGAGGTCAGTGAGGATCCAAGGAGCACCTCCAGGCACCACTCCTTGGTGCTGGCCCCACACCCTGGGGTCCTGCCCACAGACGCTGCATTTTTGACCATGAAGACCCATTTTCATTCCTGGCCAATGTCTCTATTATCACCCACCTAATTAAAAGCTTTCAGACCTTCACAGCCCAGGTGTCATAGCATCACAGAATCCCAGACTGGTGTGGGTTGGAAGGGACCTCAAAGGCCATCTAGTCCCAACCCCCTGCATGGGCAGGGACACCTCCCACCAACCCCGGCTGCTCCAAGCCCCATCCAACCTGCCCTTCAACACTGCCAGGGATGGGGCAGCCACAGCTTCCCTGGGCAACCTGGGCCAGGCTCTCACCACCCTCACAGCACAGAATTTCCTCCTTATGTCCCACCTCAATCTCCCCTCCTCTTTTACCCTTCTCCTGCCCCCAGCTTGTCAATATTTTCTCCCTGCACTGCCCACTGAAGATTTGAAGCCCAACTCTTCCTACATCCCCACAGGGCTGAGCCCTGCTCCCTACCCATGTCCAAGCAGCAGGGACCAAAACCTGCCCCATTTGTGGGGAAGCTGCCAGCAGCCCCCCAAGCCCTTGGAGCAGCCACCAGAGGAATGTCCTGCTCTTACCAGCTGGAGCTGAGACAGCAACACACCCGGGATCACGCCGCAGCCACGCTCCCTTCCTCCCCGGGCTCTCTCCAGCAAAGCCCCCAGAGAAGCAGCTTGTCCTCTTGTTGAGATGGACCAACTGGGGTTCCTTGGTCCTGCTGGGCCTGTCTCCTGCTGGTTCCCTCCTGCAGACTGAGAGGCAGGGCTGGTCCCAGGGGTTTATAGGGTGCTCTCCCCGCTGCTGCTCCCGCCGGCAGCGGAAGGGCCGTTGTGCAACCCAGCGTGGTTCCCCACAACCCTCAGCCCTGCATTCTGGGAAAGTTGCCCAAGGAAGGGGCCAGGTGGGATGCATCCCCCCCCCCCTTCCCCCACGCTGGGTTTTTCCAGCTGGAAGGAGGAATTGCCTGCAGGAAGCGGGGCAGAAGAAAGGGGATGGGGGCAGGATGGACATGAGCCACCCATGTGCAGTCACAGCCCAGAAAGCCAACTCCATCCTGGGCTGGATCAGAAGTGTGGCCAGCAGATGGAGAGAGGTGATTCTGCCCCTCTGCTCTGCCCTGGTGGGCCTTCAACTAGAATAATGTGTCCAGCTCTGGTGCCCCCAGCAGAAGAAAGATGTGCAGCTGTTGGAACGTGTCCAGAGAAGGGCCACGGAAATAATCCCAGGGCTGGAGCAGCTCTTTGATGAGGACAGGCTGGGAGAGTTGGGGTGCTCAGCCTGGAGAAGAGAAGGCTCCAGGGAGACCTTAGAGCACCTTCCAGGGCCTGAAGGGGCTCCAGGAAAGCTGGGGAGGGACTTGGGACAAGGGCAGGGAGGGAGAGGACAAGGGGGAAGGGATTAAAACTGGAAGAGGGAGATTGAGGTGAGACATGAGGAGGGAATTGTTTGGTGTGAGGGTGGTGAGAGCCTGGCCCAGGTTGCCCAGGGAAGCTGTGGCTGCCCCATCCCTGGCAGTGTTGAAGGGCAGGTTGGATGGGGCTTGGAGCAGCCTGGGCTGGTGGGAGGTGTCCCTGCCCATGCAGGGGGTTGGGGATGGATGATCTTGAAGGTCCTTTCCAACTCCAAAAATTCTGTGATTCCAGCTGCTCCCCCTTTATTATATATATATATAATATACACCTTGGCTGCTGTTTGGAGCATCCCAACCCCTTCTGCTGTACCACCAGCCCTAGCAAGGCTTCCTCAGGCCACGGATCACCCTCAGCATCAGCTCCACCTTGAGCAGCAGGACCCTTTGGAGCCATCCCATCCCACACGAGGGATGCGGGATCTTTGGGACTTTGCTCCACCATCCCTTCAGCCCCCGGATATACCCTCAGCATCAAAGGAAGAGCTGGAAACTGCACTTGACCTCTTCCTGGTGCAGAGGAAGTTCCGTGGCTGGTTTCGTCAGCAGGTCTGGCTGCTTTTGGGAAGCCCAGGGTGGGCACGTGATGTCGTTGCCCAACTTCGGAGAAGCGAGTGGCGTCTCCAACCAACTTCTCCTTACCAAGAGCCCCGGGGTCATGCTGAGGTTCCCTCCTGCAAAAAAGCATCTCCCTCACCACCACCGTGGCCAACGTCACAGCTTTCATCAGCCTGGGGATCCAAAAAAAGCGACGGAAACGTCCAGAGATCACTGAAGGTGGGAGCAGCCCCAAGGGATGTGTTTGCCAGACCCTTTTTGAAAGGATTTATTTTTCAAAATATACAGTTTATTTACAATTGTAGTGTCTACAGTTTTATATATATAACTTTATTCCAAACCTTTAAATATCTGCAGAAAACGCTAGAAAAAAAAAATAAAATAAAATCACAGGATCAGCCAAAAAAACCCAAATAAAACAAAAAAGAAAATAAAGGCATCTTGTAGCATTTGTGTTCTTGGAGTTTGAGTTTCAAGTAGTCAATGTCTACCTAAAACCATGACCTGGATAAATCTGGTAGAGAGATATGGGCGCACTGGTTAGAAAAAGGCAACATCCAACCCTGAGGGATGCCCACCCCAAGGGCCCTGGGCCAAGAAAAGTCTGTGCTGGGATGGAGCCAGGAGAAGGACTCAGGCTACGGAGGCTCCTGGGCACGAGTTAGGGTGATGGGGTTACCTGCAGCAGTGGGATGTCCTGGGGAGGGGACACCCTGGCAGGGCTTGGGGGGGCTCCAGAGAGGTGCCAGGGCAGAGGAAGGTGGTTGGCTTCAGGCACTTCATCTCTCTCAGGCAGCAGATCTGCCCGTGCATCCATGACCTGGAGCAGAAGGGCAGCAAGGAAGGGGCAGGAGCCCCCCCAACCTCCTCCTCACCTTCCCCTGTATCCTCACCCACCCCATCCCCTTTGGTTGTGCCACAGCTGGACCACAGGACACCACTGGGATGCTCCGCTGCTGTGGCACAGCCCCTGGGAGTGATGCAGGGGGTCAGCCAGCCTGGCCAAGGGCTGGGCAGGGATGCCAGCCCCAGCCTGGGAAGGGATGGAGCCAGGTGCCAGGATGGGACCATCAGTCCTCTTTCTCAAAGGTCTCCTCAGGGATGAGTGTCCGGAAGGGGTGATCCCAGAAGCGGGTGCTGATGCCAAAGCCTGTGGACAGGGGAGAGAGGGCTCAGCCCATAGCACTGCTGTCACTGGAATGCCACCAGGGGGACAGGGCCACCATCACTGAGATTAGAAGGGCTGGGACAGCTGGAATGTGGCCAGGATGGGATGTCACCTGGCTGGCTGCAAAAGCAGCAACGAGCAGATACCAGGGCCGGGCAGTTCCTCTGGCGAGAGCGGTTGAGGGAGGAACGCCCACGTTTTGGGCAGGGAATGAGGCAAGGTGAGGGTGAGGAAGGAGAGCAGGGTGAGGAGAAAGAGGTGGCTGGGCCACGCCACCAGCCCCAGGGATGACAGCTTATCTGGATGGGGCGTTTTCTCGTCGGAAACCAGGCAAAGGGCGGGTTGAGCAAGCGTTGGTGGATTCAGGGAAGCCTCACCCTGCGCCCATCAACACCTCCCAGCACGAGGAGATGCTGCCCCAGGCAAGGATGCCTCCATTCCCCCGCCCTCTGCCTGCACCCTGCCATCCCCAGCTGCCCACCAGCAAGGACTGTGCTGCCTTCATCCCCCCACCTCCCCTTCTCCTCAGCCTTGGGGGGGGGGGCAAGCAATGCACCCCATGGGGCAGCAGCACCGTGCGTGTCACCCCCTTCCCCACACCCCCCAAAACAAGGCAGCTCTGGAGTTTTCCCCAACGCCAGGTACTTCCTAGAAGCAGGTGCACGGCAGCAGGTGGGCTGGGCTCCAACAGCCCCTTCCC